CTTGACCTCGTTCACCGCGAGAGAATGCGTCTCCTTCACAAGCATCGCCGCCGAGGAAGCATGCGGCCTCTCCGACGACGAGCCCGATCCGGCGGCCTGAAACCACAATGCACCATTACAAAATCCTCAAACGAACACCATAAAGGCACACAAAATCCGCGTGTTTTTGAGAGACTCGAACCGGTGGCGGAGGAAGGCGCTTCCGGGCGAGGACCTGGTGGCGGTCGAAGAGGTGGAGCAACCCGGTCATGCATCCCATCTGCCGCTCCAATTGACTCCTATCGGCCAGTCCCCGGCCGCCGCACGACGTCATCACCTACCCTCCCTCCGACGATGATGCTTCGCGGCTCCTATGGTGCGTGTCACTCGCAAACCTGTATATTTTTTTGCCTGCTCTCGCGAGGCCTCCCCGTCCCGACTCTCTCCTCACTGCAGCTTTCAAAGCGTAAGCCGGATACTAAATGCTAGCTGAGGCTCCCATGTACGAACCGAGTCAGGGACCAGCTTTTCTATTACTAGACTATTCAGTCGACAACCAACATTCGTTGAAATTGGCCCCAAACGCCAATCGTCAGACGGTCTTCAGAGAACGGTGACTTGGCTGAGACAACCCGGCGTTTGGAGCGTGAGCGAGCAAAGGCGAAAAGCCTGCTTGTGCGGTCTTGTGCGTCGCACGCGCGCACACACGTGAAAGAGCGATAGAGATACGAAGAGAGGAGATAGCTGCAGTAGAACAGGGGAAGGAGGAGGGTTTGACCGGGAAAGGGACGTCACTGTTGGCCGGGACGAGAAGGACTAAATGGCAGTGAAAACACTCGGGCTGGGATTGGAAACTGGTCCTGCAAGAGTCGTGCGGTCCTATTCATCACGATAGATGTACAACCGTAAACACGTCAGTCTCCCTGCTCTACTTGTTATAATTACGCCACTCGGGTACGCCAGATTGGTACCTCCACGGAAGCACGATCGTGTGTGATTTGGACTTAAACATAGACTCGACTGTCTGTCAATCAACTTACGACACGTTCGATCACACGTAGGAAAGGATAGAAAAAGAACAGTCGTCAATTATTCGCTCGGAAAAAAGAAACAAAAAGAGACATATGTTTTCATGTGAGATTATTAGACTGTCGGTCAAACAAAGAGACAGCGTTTTCCATGGACTATAGGGACGTGTAGAATAAGGGGATGGGGAATGGAGGGAGTATAAAAGATATGGCTAACCAATTGACCAAACCATAGTGATAGTTATCAAGTACATGAAGGAAATTGGAGAGGTTACTTTATTCTCATATAAACTTTTCTAACACCACAACAGCATGATATAAAATTTGTATGGCAGTGTGTCATCATTAACTTATAATTTAGAATGATTTTTTTTATACCAAAATTTCAGAAACTAAGCAATTGATTGTTTTGAAATATATGTCATGCAGAAAATTAAGAGGCTTTTATCTTCAGAGAAAAAACTTAATAAAAATATTATAAAATAGTATTATTATTGCTGTGACTATTAATGATGGTTCCCGATCACCGAACTCGTGAGCATGCACATGCACAACCGAAGCAGACTGCCTGTACAGCCACCGCCGAGTCCTGTGACTCGCGTGGCCGCCGCACCTCTTACTTCCATCCAATCCTTCGTATTTATATCATATCCTCTCTTGTGACAGAACACATACAGACCATCCTCCTGTTATCATATCCTTATCTTCTCCCTGTGACACAGAGTACCAGCGCCTCAGGCCTCCTTGTGATTGCAATGATCCCAAGGGACCTTCACTGACCCACCCATAGGACACAAATTATTTCTCTGCTACAACGTCTTTAGTTGCACTCCCTCTCCAAATGCCGTCTGTTTGATAGTAGTCACAGTGGCAATTATTATCTGATCATAATGGATTTGAGTAACTTTAATCAGATTCCTGGATTCATTAATTGGATGAAGAGGGTGGCCAGTCCTATTGGTACAACGACAGGACTGGGCACATGCAACTGCTCCCCCCATATGAAAACAATGCACCTATCTTTGGTCCCAAAGAGGGTGCCATCCAAAGATCAGGTCACAGGTTGAGGAGGTCAAGAACAAATTTTCAGTTTTGAGCCCACATCTCAGCCATCTGAAAACAGATTTGTTTTCTGGATGTTGTTTCAGACTTACACAAGCAGAGGGACTCAGGCAACGCATTCATCTTAAACCTGTCAGTGGATTCCAACATTAAAAGTTCAGAAATTTACATCCAAATAAACGCAGGAACAAGGAAGATGGAATTATAGTTGGAAAACCTAGACAGATAAACTTAATTAGTATCCAACATGTATGTGATTTTGCATGCAAATTTTAGAGTTCTCTGAGAGCCTAAACATACCTTTTTGTTAGCTTCTAGTTACTTTTCATATTGAATTCAATTCCACCGAGTGGTTAAATCGGATTAGACATGTTTGATGTCCAAGATAAGGTCACATTTCTAAGTAGTTTCGTATCATACTAACTTTAAGAGGCTTCATTCAACATGATAGATATACAAAGCACTAAAGATAACGAGGACCACGCGGTGCCCAAGAACGGACGCTTCCAAGTAGACACACTAATGATCAAGACAGCATTTTCTTCAGTTTGTCTCCCTCTGATACTAATTCACGGACTGCCACAAATTTAGGCTTCACTCTCAGATAATACATATGGCGTCATTCCATGGAAGATTTAGCTGAATAGAGCACAATGCTTTTGGATCCTTGATGTTTCAAAGGAAATCATATGTACAAGGATCAGTTCTATAAGAAGTTCCTTTGATCCTTCCTTTTACAAGTCTTTAATAGACTCCACCACAATTAAAGTTTTCAAACATGGATTTTGACTCCCAATGTAGTTATGTAACATTAATAGGTCCGACATGGAATGGGACCCTTATGTAGCAACTAACGAGATGATTTTTCATACTGAAAAATAAGCCAGCATTAACGAGATGATTTGCTTCACTATCTCAATCGGTGCTTATGTAGCAACTATTTACTCGAGGGCTTCTATCGAATAAAAACACTCTCCATCGGCAAAGGTGAAAATGCCCGAGTTGACGAAAGTATTATCTTTGGGTTACCCTTTTTATGCTCTTATTCAATCCTAATAAGCTGCATCACACTGTTGACACTTTGACCCCGAAAGTTGCAAAACAAGCTAAAAAAAAAGCTGAAGGACCCAGTGACTCCTATCCCTTATATCATTCCATGTGAACTAATTTATTTCAAAGGTCTCAAAGTCTTCATATCCCACACATGAAAAGGTTCAAAAAGAGAGGATGATGACTTCTGGCACAAGCTTTTATTGATCCCACCCACATGAATCCAAGCAGTTCATCACGTACATACTGACCTACCACTCATGAAGCTCCTGAGTCAATATGTGGGTCAGGCAGCTTTAAGCCCAAGTAGAAGAATCCTACCCATCTGAGTCATTTACAAGGATGGCAACAATCCTAAAAAATTAAGATAATGGTGTAGGTGCCCTTCACTAGTCCCCATGGACCGGTAATATGAAAGTGAAGAAAATATTGAGGGAAGTACCCCATGGGAGAATGCTCTGTTTGTCTCTACAAACCTCTCCTATCCATTTGCTAAGAAGCTCTTGCCCTCACTCTTCATTTAATATTTGGCGATAAAGACAATTTAGATTGTGCTGCAATCATAATAATGAACATGAGGTATCAACTTAAGTTATTGCGGGAAGACTATATCAGGATATTCACCATAAACTATAAATTTTTTATGGTCGGCCTTGTAAAACTTTGGAAGAATGAATGTTTTACTTGACAATGCAATCTCTAAAAGATTAACCATCTTTAATTAGATGGAAAAAAAAATAGACTGGGTTTCCTGAGGTTTAATGTAGGAGACCCATGATATAATCAAATTAATGAGGTCCACGCAAATCTAAGTAAATTCGCTACTTTATTCTGATGGACATAGATGGCAAAGTTCTTGGAGTTACCTAAGAAATAGGACAGAAAATATAGGGCTGCTCCTACATTTCTATCCTACTCACACGAGCTGAATCTGTGAAGTCATCATATCAAGATGTGGGCCAATTGTCGGAAAGAGGAGCATGGACTAGGGTTGTCAGTTGACACAGAAGGGAATCCTCTGCAGGTGGCACATAGAAGGAATAAGAGCATATGAGGCAATTGGAGTAGGGACGTTTTCGTTCGCCTTTCACCCTGCAATCTCTGCCGAGCTGACGGCGATCAAAGTGGTAGACTCTTGTTCCATTGGTTGTACAAAAGAGAACAAAGGACGGATGCAGCTAAGACGATGACCAAATGCCCCATAGTTGCATCACCTCATTGAATGGAGGTCACTCTTCCCATTCACCGTTTGAGAATGGTGGAAGTTTTTATGCATCCAATTTGACAAACTTTCACGGTTTGATTTCAGCCAAATGTTCTTTTCAAATCAACCAGTCACTTGAGCCTAGTTATAACAATCCTTTGACCACACTAATATTGTTATGTTCTTGAAATTATAAATTTAACTCTGTGAAAAGAACTTCCGAAGAAAATAAATCAAAGATCATTAAAGGTAACCTATCAACATAATCAAGTTCCTATGGGATCGTTATATATTTCAAAGATGGAAAAAGGCTTCATTACACCAAATTTCCATCAATGTATGGTCTGAAAAATACATCTGGGTACTGTGCTCATATTGCATAAAAACCACATGCATATAAATAAGAGCCACTTGCTATATAAAAACCCCTGCCCGATGTTAATAAACTTCAGACAATAATGTAGCGCACTATGTTTGGCCTCATCCAAGTATATAATGAATCGAAAAAGGCTACATAAGACCATACAACAAGTAAAACAAGAATCCACAAGGTGGCACATGAAATGCAAGTTAATCGTGAAATGTCCCATCCTACCAAATAGATTCGACGTCAGCATCACAACGAAGAGAATAAGATCTTTCCTCTGACAAGTTAACTATACTTTAACCTCAGATCACAGGGTTTAAAGTGATTTATAATTAGAACAGCAAATGATGTTAAGTCGTATGACAATAGCCAAATCCCAATCTCACATTGCTACAGCCAGAAAAGCTACGACGAAGGTTCAATATTCACGTTAAACTACCTACAGGTTCACTAGCGAAGAAAGAAAGTCACACAAACTACAACACCTGTGGTATTCAACAAAAGTTGAATTTTCATTCCTTGGTGGACTTGTTAATGAGGGACTTGTGGATGTGAGGGATGACACCACCACCGGCAATGGTGCCTTTGATAAGGGTGTCAAGTTCCTCATCTCCACGAATGGCCAGCTGAAGGTGGCGTGGTGTGATACGCTTCACCTTGAGATCCTTGCTTGCGTTCCCGGCAAGTTCCAACACCTCTGCCGTTAGGTACTCCAGTATTGCAGCAGAATACACTGCCGCTGTCGCCCCAACACGTCCATTTGCAGAGATTCTGGATTTCAGCAGGCGGTGGATTCGACCGACAGGAAACTACATAGAAGAAATCCATATGTGATACAGCATACGAGAAACTCAGATATGCATTAACTTCATAAGGATTTGATGACAGTATATTCATCCGATTGGATTCTACACACAGGATGCACAAGATTATGCAGTCTAAGTTGGACATAAGCATGATTCATTTTCCTTCTCTTGGAAAATTTAGTACCAACAAGAACTGAAAGTGGTGTCAATAATTGCTACGATGCATCCTCCAATTGGGAATCTATCAACCTAAAAATCCATTACAACTATTATGGCATTCAACCATCATCATCGATTGATTTTTAAGGACCATGGTGGACCAATTTTGACTACAAATTATTCAGCATGTTTAACTAGTGATGATGACCTGCTCTTTATCTAATCATGGACAAAAGTTGGCATGGTTCTCCATCAAAGACTCAAATTTGACTTCCTTGCCATCAAATTCAACATAAATAGAGTCAAGCCATGTTAGATCTTTAACATATGGATCAAACAAATGTTGTATAGAATAAAACCAAATTTTGATTCAAACATGCTTTATAGATCCAAAACAAAATTTTAGAATGTTTCCATAAAACTTATTAAATCCACAATAATATACATAAAATTCTACAACAATTGAAAAACATATTAACATAAAAACGTACCTGATGAATCTATCATAGTATTTTCTAAATTAATCGATGGTTTAGCCTTCAAATTGCAAAGTATCCTTGAGAACTTTAGATTTCTCTTTGACGGATGAAGAAAAACTTCATTCGATATTACAGCCAAAGACCATAACCCTATTTATATTCATAATTGATGAATCTACAATTATAATTATATTCATAATTAATAAATATGTAATTATGTCTCAAGAATTTCATGTTCCTAACTTATCTCATCATTAAATTAGAAATATAATTGATGGTATCCACACGATTAATTTTCATAATAATTATATCCCTTAGCCAAATAATTTTACTTTAATTAAATCACTTTAATTTTGAATAATCAAAATAATGACTTAACATATTTAATTTTATATGTATAACCCTTAAAATTCTAACAATAATTTATTGAGCTCAAAATTATTGTCATTATTAAACAAGACATACAAATCAATCTCATACATTGACCATATTAATATAGGACCAAAGTAGCCTTTGCTATATCAATTAGCTAAATCCATCAATGATCACTAATATTAATATAACCAAATGACATAGATCAATTATGAAATATGTAGCATCAAAATTACATTAATGTGATCTATATATATCAATTTTCAACTGATCCAACTTTATTTTTATGAGATCATTAATAATTTTAATAGTCATAATATATAAAATATAATAAACTAAAGCTTTATTTCTGATCAAAAAATATATATACAAATATAGAATTTGGTATAAAATATACAATAAACATATGACAATCTCCCACTAAATTGAAGTTTCCTCAAATTCTAATATACACATATAAGCAGTATACTCATGAAAAACCTTAGGTGATACACCTTTTGTGAGAGAATCTACTAACATAAAGTTTGTTCCTAAGTATTCTATAGAAATTTATCTACATTATACCCTTTCTTTACAACTAAAAACTTGATGTCAATATGCTTTGACTTAGTTGAGCTTCTATTGTTGTTGGAGTATAAAACAACTGATTTATTATCAGAGTAATCTTTAAATCCCTTGTACTATTTATAGCTCTATAACAAAATTCCTCAACCAAATTCGATGATTGAACGCCTCAAAACATACTACAAATTCCGCTACTATGATGGAAGAAGTAATAAGAGATTGCTTGGCACTATACCAAGAAATCACCCCACTAGACAACATATAAATGTAGCTCGAAGTGGATTTCCTACTATCTTGGCATCCAACAAAATCAAAGTCAAAATACCCAATGATCTCCAAACGATTTAATCTCCTATATGTGAGCATATGATCTTTTGTCCTCTTTAAATATCTCATAACTCTTTTAGTTGCCTTCTAATGATTCATTCCAAGATTATTTAAATATCTACCTAACACTCCAATGATGTACGCTATATCCAAACACGTACAAACCTATGCATATATTAGACTCTCTACAACTGATACATAAGGAATCTTTTGTATTTCTTAAGTTTCCAAATTTCTTTTAGAGCACTGATTGAGACTGAACTTATCTCCCTTTGCAACAAAGGTGTCTCCTGATTTGCAATCCTATATATCAAACATTTTGAGTACCTTTTCAAAATAACTCTTTGTGATAATCTTATAATACTCCGAGATCTATCTCGGTATATCTAAATTCCTAATACAAAAAAGGTATCACCAAGATCTTTCATCTCAAAATTTCTAAATAAAAATCTCTTGGTTTCGTGCAATATGCCTATTTCATTTATAGTAAGCAAATGAATTTTCTCTCACTGAATTTATGATACATGCAATCATAAACAACATTCACCTTAAAACTAAATAAGATAATTACTTAATAAAATTTATGATATCATTGACAAAATGCCTATTTTAGCCCATAAATAGATTTTATCCATTTATAAATCATTTTCTTTTGATCTCTTAACATAAAATATTTTAGTTGTTTTATATAAATTATTTCATCAATGTTTCTATTAAGAAATGTTATTTTAACATCCATCTGATGAAGCTCCAAATCAAAATGTATAGCTAGAACTATAATTGTTTTAAAAGAGTCCATTAAAACCAAAAAGAAAGTCTCTTTAAAGTCAATCCCTTCCTTTTGAGTATAGCTCTTTGCCACAAGACATGCCTTATACATCTCCACAAAACATGTCTTATACTCTTGATTTATTATTTCAATCCACTTATCCAAATTGAAATCCTCCATGGCTTAATGGAAGTTGATTAGATCATCTTCCATTATACCACTACTTTCTTCATGTTCCTAAAAAAATACCATATAATCATCTGAAATGACACTCCTCCTATCCTTAATGGATCATCGCAAAGGTGCTAACTCTTGCAACATAAATTCTTGAGGATGTTGAGTTTATTCCTCATGAGTAATTTCTTCATACTATATGAGAGTTAAAATGACAATATCCTTTTGAGGTATTGATTTTGCCACATTACTGCCAACTATATGAGTTAGATCAGACTAAACCAATTCTTCCTCAAAGGTAAAGTTTTTAATCTTATTTCTCCCCCAAACTCAATATCCTCAAAGAATGTAACAATACTAGTCTAAAAAATATTTCTTAATTTAGGATCATAAAATTTATACCCCTTAGATTGCTCAAAATAACCAATAAAATAACTACTCACTATTTGAGATTCTAATTTCTTTTCATTAGGCCTGTAAGGCCTTGCCTCAACTGGACAACCCTATATACAAGTGTTTTAGACTAGGTTTTCTCCCAATCCAAAGCTCCTAAGATGTTTTTGCAATTGCTTTAATTAGTACTCTATTAAGCTATAATTTTTATTGCTTCTCCCCAAAGTGACTCTGGCAAAGTAGATTGAGAAATCATACTTCTTATCATGTTAAGTGTGCAGTTTTATCTTTTAGCTACACCATTCATATTAGGTAACCCTGACATTATATACTGAGGAATAATTCCACACTTCTCTAAGTATAAAGCAAATGGTCCTAGATGTTATTCACATAAGCTATCATTTTTGCCATAATATTTTCCTTCACGATCAAATCTGATGCTTTTTATCTTTTTTGTTGAGTTAATTTTCAACTTCAACTTTAAATGTTTTGAACACATCCAAAGACTAGGATTTTTCATGTATTAGAAGCAAGTATCTATATCTAAAGTAATCATCTATGAATGATATGAAATATTATTGATCATTCCATGTAAGTATAGGAAATGTCTCACAAATATCTGTATGTATTAATTCTAAGACATTTGTAGCTCTATATGCACCTGATCTCGTAGGTTTGGTTTGTTTACCTTTAATACATTCAATATAAACATCTAAACCTGATAAGTCAATGGGATCAAAAATCCCTTCTGACATAAGTCTTTCAACTTTATTTCTAAAGATATAACCCAAATGTTTATGCCATAATACATCTAACTTTTTAATTTTACGTTTAGCACCTCACAATTCTGCATTCAAGGATTCATGATAGGATGCTATAGTATCAAATAAATATATATTGACATAAGCCATAAGTAAACCGGTTCCAATTATATTTGAATTTAAAAATAAAATAAACTGATTATTTTTAAATGAACATGAATAACCAAATTTGTTCAAATAAAAAACAGAAATTAAGTTTCGTCTAAATAATGATACAATAAAAGTGTTTTTCAAATTCAAATAATATACAGTACACAATAACAATCTAAATATGCTTATAGCTTCCACATCTACCAATTTTCCGTCCTCCATATAAATGCTTTTCTCAACATTATTGAGCCTTCGATAGCTCAGACAAACTTGCATTGATACACTAATGTTAATTGTTGTACCAAAGTCTAACCACTAAGTGTTTCTATATACTAAAATTAAATTGACTTCAAAACAAACCAAAATAAAGAATGTTCCGTTTTTAGCACATCAAGCATGATATTTAACACAATCCTTTAAATGCCCAGAATTCTTACAGAAGAAACAAATATCATCCTTATTTTGTTTCTTCTATACTAGACCCTTATCAGCCTCATTCTTTTTAGATTTGTATTTTCTTTTCTTACCCTTAATATCTTGTCTTTGGACTTCAATGTTAATTGCTAATGATAGTCTTGTTGTAACAATCAAACACTAATAATAAAGCATGTCAAATGATAAACTTTATAATTGTCACGTGTTTACCATTACAAGTATGTATAAAATCCTACCAATCATTAACCTTCCTTTGGGCCGAGTAATTATCGTATGGATGTAAATACACACTATATTTAATATTTTCATGAGAAATATTATATATGGGAGGTCACTTTAGCGACTTTATACATTAAATTACTCAATCTAATATTAAACAATCACTAATTAAATTTAAATCATATTAATCAAATTAGTTTGACAATAATTTGTTGACTAAAATATTTAATGCATGTAAACCATTCAATTCATGATAACAAATAACTTTATAAAACCAATATTATATTTAAACCAACATAATATTGTAACAATATTATTATTAATTAAATTTACATATTGCAACATAATTAAAACAACATAATATTATAATAATATTATTAATAATTAAATTTATATAAATTTAATTAATTAGATAAAATCCAAAGGAAATTTGGAAAATTTATGCTTTGTAGTGCAAAAATGAATTTGCATACTGTGAAAAGAAAAAGACACAAATTGGAAAAAATATCTCAAAATTAAAGTGATATAACATCAAAAAAATGCACTAAATGTGAAACATGCTATAACATAATTACATAAAACCATTATCTTCCCCGATGATAATAGAATCAAATCACTCCAAAATACTAATGAAAACATCATTAAAATACATGAAAAATAATCCTGAATGTTTAGCAATCATCGTAAGATGGCTCTAATACCAATTGTTAAATCTTTAACATATCAAATATGGATCCAACAAATGTTTTATAAAATCAAAACCAAATTTTGGTTCAAACATGCTTTATAGATCCAAAATAAGATTTTAAAATGTTTCTATAAAACTTATTAAATCCACAATAATATGCATGAAATCCTACAATAATTAAGAAATATATTAACATGAAAATGTACGTGATGAATCCATCAAAATATTTTTCTGAATTAATCGATGATTTGGCCTTCCAATTACAAAGTATCATTAAGAAATTTAGATTTCTCTTTAACGAGTGAAAGAAACTCCATTCGATACTACAATCAAGAACCATAACCCTATTTATATTCATAACTGATCTACAATTATGATTATATTCATAATTAATGAATCTACAATTATGTCTCAAGAGTTCTATATTCCTAACTTATCCCGTCATTAAATTAAAAATATAACTAATGGTATCCACACAATTAATTTTCATAATAATTATGTCTCTTAGCCAAATAACTTTACTTTAATTAGATCACTTTAACTTTGGTTAGTCAAAATAATAGTTTAACATATTTAATTATACATGTTAACCCTTAAAATTTTAACAAATTAGAGAACCATCTACTCTGATAAAGTATTATCAATCTTTTATGCACCATGATATAAAACTCATTCAATCAAATTGAGAATCCTCAACACCACATCTACTACCAAGCCAACATTATACCCCTTTCAAATCATGTTGTACTAACTATTACAATGATGTGTATTGCTTTCTTATACAAAAGCATGATAGAGTTGCAAGCTATGCAAGATCCTTATCAAAAGGTAAAAGAATTTAATATCAACTCATTTTAGATCATTTTATAAGGCCATGGTGCCTAAGGAAGGGATCATTCATGCCATGAAGCTTGGGGGTTCAAAAGCTTCATGTCGAGACTGATTCTCCAATTTTGGTTAATCTTCTAAATGTAAGGAACACTTCCCCTTAGAGGATCTTAAATCTCATTAAAAGCATTGTTCATCCAAGAAATCTTTGAGATTCCAAGTTTTCCATGTCTTTCGTGAAGGGAACCGAGCTGCAACTAGTTGGCCAAGTTAGCAACGTATAATTAAATGCAATTGTATCGGGGTTGGAAATCCTCGAACTGAGCTGGATTTTTTTTTTGTTCGCTCTAATGTAAACAGAGACATTTTGTTTCACCTTAATTTCAATCAATAAAGCTTAATTTTCTTTCTTTTATTCAAAAAAGAATAAAAAAAATCAATATGAAGCGTATACTTTATCACAAATCAATCAGAAAATACCCTAAATACAAACCACCTCTCTCATCCTAACAAGCAATAACAATCTCTAAAGGAGATGTGACAATAAGTAACACTGTATCATAAACAACACCATTCCACTTGCAGCACATCCCGGCCAAAATCAAGTATGGGCTAATAGGGTTCTCAATTGAGTAGCCACTAATCCCAGAAGCCCTATTTAACGTAAACCATGTGCAGCATTTGGACTGGATATCATGATATATGGCTTGCCGAAGTCAGTTGCGCACAATGGAATTACACAATTAAATGACATTACAAGACTAAGAACCACTGTTCCACTGTTGATCTCACACACCCAGAACAATGGCAACTTATACATCTGTAAATCATAGCACATCCAAACTCAAACTTCCATAACAACAAATCAAAGGCGCCAGCTCCCCGAGCATAGCGACCCCAGTTCTAAGAAAGAATTCAACAACAAAGGAAGAACAGGGGCGTACCTGCAGTCCAGATCTGGACGAGCGGGACACCGGCTTTTTCTTGTCCTTGTCCTTATTGGCCGCCGTCGTCTTCGCCGCCAAAAGCCCCTTCCCTCCTTTCCCCGCCATCTCTCTATTATTCAATCACAAAACCAAGCAGGAAAGTGCTGAATAACCCTAAATCGTTCCATAGAGGTGACGAGCAAAACGGGGAAGAAGGAAAAATAGACACGAAATTTCTCGAAAAACGACCTAAATCGCCAGCGGAAAACACCAGAAAAAGCCAGATAAACCAGTATCAAGAAGCCCTAGAGAGCGGAGAAGATGGGGAAGAGAGGAGACCGCGTACCTCCTCTGATTCCTCCCCGGCTCCTCGAGATCCTTGGAAGGGTCAGAGGGTGAAGAGGCTCGGAACGGGAACGGGAACGAAACGGCGGGGTTCGACGGGTTTATAAGTACGAATGGGCGGGAGATGGTTTTGGTTTCGGTGGGGGAATCAAAGATGATTACTTTTGGGCGGCAAACGGAAATTTCAAATTTTGCATTTGTTCCTAAAGTAACCTCGACCTTCGTCCAAATGCCATGAATGTGGCTCATAATTTTTATTTGGTTATTATTAAGCAATGATCTCATCTCTCGGATCCTTTTTTTTTTTTGGTGATTTTTCTTTAAAAACTCTGATTTTATATTTTAGTGTTTCACTAGTTTTAAACTATTTTTATTTGGCTCATTTATAATATTTTTCAATAGCATTATAGTATTTTTATTAAGATACTAAAAATAATATAAAATTATTAAAAAAATAATAAGTGACATCATATTATATCACTTTGGTTGTTATTGCATATTGACCATTATGATAATATATTTTTAGGCTTATAGCTGATTCGATTGAGATTATGAGTCTATTTTAATCATTTATATTATTTTTAAGTATATTTTATAATATTTTTGTTGTAGTGATTGTAACAAACTAATTTTTTTATCTCAATTTAGGTGATATTATTTATAAACTATTATAAACATTTTTATTGAATTCTAGCATGATATCAAATGATTTTTAGTATATTTTAATTTTATTTGGCTTACTTATAGTATTTTTAATGGTATTATAGTATATTTATTAAGATATTAAAAATACTATAAAGTTATTAAAAATATAAATATTATTTTTTTTTTTTATTGCTCGTAAATTATTATGGTATTAAATTTCAAAGTTTAAAATTGGTTTGGTTGAGATTATGAGCCTATTTGTATTATTTAGAATATTTTTAAATAAACTCTATAATGGATCAGAAAAGTATCATAGGATTGGTAAGAGATCTCTTGAACATTATTCAAAACATGAGCACCATTTGAGAACAACAAAAAGAAAAAAAAATATTTTTTTAAGAAAATCAACCTTATATTTATAAGAATTAAGAAATAAAATTTTATTTAGTAAAATGCATATAGCCCAATCAATGAGTACTAGAATAATGAGATTATTCAATACCCAAAATTTTTTAATAATATTAGAATTAGTAAATATTTTAAGAGTTCTAACTAGCTTCAAACTATTGAAAAGAGTGCTAATTAGTTTCAAACTCTTTAATGAATTAGGACTAGAATTTAGATAATGAATCCAAATAGGAAAAATAAATTAGGATTTTATTATATAAATATAGTAAAAGTCTTAATGTTTTTGTGAATGGAAAAGATAGAGAAACACATTTTGGTGCTCATGCTATCTCTAATGAAAGTAGGAAGGGTTGAGAAATTAATATTTTAGGTTATATATATATATATATATATGAGAGGATGTAAAATAATTCCTTATATTAGTTTTTCTCTAAAAATTTAATTTTTAATATAGATATAAGCATGAAGTTACTGAGCCACATTAATTTTACATCAACTTTCTAATATATTCTTTAATTATTAATCTCTATTTTTTTAATTTTTGAAACTTTCTTTTCTTCCCAACAAATAGGAATAGTGTAACAAAGAATCGACCAAATCATAATTCGAATGTCTACCCAAAATAAGATATTAAACCTTCACAAAGCTAAAAATAAAATTTATATTAATCCAAGTTAGATTGCGTTCAATAGAGGAATCCAAAGAAATCCATCAATATGTTAGGGGTCAGAGCTCTATTTAGTTTAATATTTTTAAGATTAGATATGGACACCTTTGTGGTGCCTCTTCTGATACTTGTAGGGATAGTTAGATTTTAGATGAAGACATCTACTAAAAAACGATAACAATTTATTAGAATGTGCATGGAATTTCGTTGCATTTTATTCTGAATTTGATTAACTAATTATTTGAATTCGTCCTTCTTTTGCTTTGATTAACAAGTACAAATATGTGTGTGTGTGTGTGAAATGTCATTTTTATCTCAAAATTTTGTGTTTATGATTTTTCAACGTATCTACTTTTTACTCCAAATAAGCTCATGGAGGATCGAAACTATTATAAGCTCAAAATGGTTAGTACTAGTAGACTCATTTACCCATAAAACTAATACAATCACTTCTCACAGGATGTAGGAATAAACTATGGTATAAAGATCTCCCTCATTTGGGCTCGAGGCCCAAACATAGCCCAAAAATATTCATTGTGATGAGCCTAGTAATAGATTCATCGAGCCCTATTAATCAGATCCAGCATTATTGTTACTCTTAAAGCAATTGGTTAATATTATTTACGTGAACGTAATCCGACAGTTAATTGGATTGTTAGAAAATTTACGATGGACAGTTTCTTTCTCGTGGATAGAATTCTTGGGCAATGGCTTAAACAAGTGCGTTCGTAGAACTATGCCATCTTAATAGATTTATTTTTCGAAAAAAAAATCTCATATTCAATATAAAAATATTTATTAACACATAATCTGGCATATCCCGCATCTAATCTACTCCTGATAGCGTACTTTCTTTTGATTTGATCATAAACATTATTAATTGTTTTAACATCTACATGGGGTGTTGTATACAGACATTACCTTCGTATTATGAGTGAACAAAACATGTGGACCCAATTAAAGTAAGCCCTTGTAGATATTAGTATGGCAATATGGAAGAGAACATTGATTCAAATTCTGCTGTCCTGTGGCTAATGGAACTGAACAATATTTTGTTTCAGAAACAGGGGAGACTGCTGGCTCTCATATTCACCGGAAACAACCCATGCACCTGCCTGAGATGCTTCAGATGCTGCTGTCCATCAACCGAAGGGAAACTGCAGCACACTGCTAGTTTTCACAAACAGGGGAGGAGAAGTCCATACTACTCACCATAGAAGTCCCAGCAAGCCAGATGTGTGCTTACTATAGGGAGAGACCCTCGGCTTTATTAAAATAAGTAGGCTCAAAATAATCAATTGGTTTAAAAAAATATAGTGACATATGCTTATATTATATATTTCTCTAATGTCTTGATTTGATAATTATTTTTTTTATCTTCTCAGTATTGAAATTTCCTCTTCATGAACATTATTATTTCCCATATTACTTTGTTCTAATATTGGTGATGAAGAAATAATAGAAGTAGATATAGATAAAGAAGAAGATAAGCTAAAATCTACGGAAGCACTAGATGATAAAGGAAAGTTAACCAAAGATTTTGAACATATATCAATTTTAATTGATATTTTCAAAAGAAGGTACTTATGGAGGTTAGTAGTAAGAAATATAATCAAAGACAACATCTTGAGATATTGTATGCTTATGTGTTTATGAATCCATATAATTTTGAACTTTTTTTTTCATCATAGTCAATAAACATGCATTTTTTGGTCTTAGCATCAAGGTTGGTTCTCTTTTCAGGCACATGAACATAGCATGAAGAATCAAATGCTATAAATTTTAATATTTAGTGTCTCACCAAACATGAGCTAATATGGAAGCTTCAGATTGATTAGATTAAGAATAGTTTGATTAATAACATAAGTTGCATATGTCATATCTTCTATCCATAAACCTTTGGGTAAATTTTCTGTATGAAGCTAGCATTTATAAGTCTTCACGAGATGTCGAATCTTTTGTTCTACCATATAATTTTATTATGGTATATTTGCCCGTGTGAGTTTTCTTTTGATGTCATACTCTTTACAAAAAGAAAAGAATATATTAAAAGTAAACTTATCGTCGTTATCAATGCATAATCTTTTAATTTTTCTTTTAAGAATAATTTCAACTATTAACTTAAACTCTTGAAATTAAAAAAAAAACTTATTATTTTTTCTTCACAAAGTAGAGCTAGGTGAACCTTGTAAAATCATTAATAAAGAGAAGCATATAATGAAAACCTAAATAAGATAGAGTTTAAGTAAGACTTGTTAAATCATTATGAATAAGTTTGAAGGGAAATTTGAACCTTGATAGTGATCTATCAAAAAATTACTTGTGTGTCTTGCCAAATTAACAACCTTCACAAGCCTCATTACTACTAAAAATAGTAAAATTGGGAAGACCATTAACTAAAATTTTCTACATCATAATATTTAATTTAAGAAAATTTATATAACTAAGTCTAGCATGTCAAATTGATATACCATTATTTATACTAATCCTTTCAATATAAAAGTTAGGTGTTAAAATATGTAAATCTTTGACCCTTTTATCGGTATGTACTACATCTATATTTAATTATTTTATATTATGAAGATATTTTGACTTTGTTTCTAAAATCAATTGTATTAGTAATAGAAAAGAGATTTTCTTCATATTTGGAATATGATGTATACTCTTCGATGTAATATGATTATTATTTTAATTTAAGATTATAACAGTGCCTTCCTTCTTCACTTAGTGAACAATATTGTCTACTGTGATAATTGTATTATTACCTTCATATTGATGAAGATTAATAAATTTGGTACCATCACTACTAGTAAGAAGATGACCACATCCTGAATCAACTATCCGATCATATTCAAAGTTGATAGATGTCATAGCCTCAATAGTTTTAGCCACAAAATATTTACTCTAATCTTTATCAGTTGTATTGGGATAATCTTCTTTATTTGTAATATTTCTTTCTTTAATCTTAACGCAATAAATTTTTTTGATATAGCCTAACTTATCATATATATAACACTTGATTTTCTTTTGATTTATACTATTGTTTGAAGAAGATTCTAGTTTACTATTAGCATTATCATTCTTATTTTTATCTTCATCATATTTTATTTTTTATTTATATAAAGGGCATCTTCATCTCCCCTTGAAGTAGAAACTCTTGTCATTTAATAAGCTAAGAATTTCTGAGAAGCAAGAAGATTTTTCAACTCTACTAAGGATAGTTGTTGAACCTATCCTTGAATAGATGAAACAAAATGATATATTCTTTTTGAAGACCATGAATAATATAATATTTCATTTGTGTATTAGAAATAGACTCATCTAATCTAAGAATGATATATCTAAGAATGATATATCCAAATATAACTTTTTAATCTTTAAAAAATT